GGAGGGCGGCTAAGTGCCTGGCTGGCGTTCCCAAGCGGGAAGGAGATAAAACTCCAACTGTGTTGGGCCCCAGTTCTGACTGCTCTGAACCCAAGCCTAGGCCAGACCCCGGGGACCCAGGCCCACACAGAGGGAGCTGGGCTGCGAGGCGGTACCCGGGGAAGCGGCAAAAGGGGGTCCCGGCGGCGCACACAGTGCGCACAGAGAAGGGACGGCCGGCTGTGCCGCGGGATTGCCTGGCGGGAAGGAGACAGGAGCTCCAGACTGCTCTGAATGCCACCTCCAACTCCACTTTCAACTGAACTGAACCCCAATACCGGGCTCATTGGGGGAGAGCATTGACTGTTTGGCAGCAGGCGAAAATCGAGGGCACCTTTCTCTCAGAGGCGCTTTGCAGCGAGTACTGAAGGACCCACATAGGGCGGGGCTGACGGAAGCCAAGGCTGCAGGCTCCACCCTGAAACCCCGCCCCGTCTGTAGCTGTGAAATGCGACAACGAAATAGATCACAAACGAAAGAAATGGAGGACAAAAAGCGTCTGGATATAGAGTTCAAATCTACACTTATAAGGTTTTTCAAGAATTTCCTAGAAAAGATGGATAAGACCTATGAGGATATGAAAAGAGATCAACTAGAATTAATAAGGAGTCAACAAGAAATGATAAGGGATCAACAAGAAATAAAGAATACATTGTCTGAAATAAAAAATATTATACAGAGTCCTAAAAACAAAATGGAAGATCGCAAGAATCAAGTCAAAGATTTGGAACATAAAGAGCCAGAAGACACTCCTCCACAGAAGCTAGAAGGCAAGAGATTCCAGAAAATTGAAGATAATGTAAGAAACCTCTGGGACAACTTCAAGCAAACCAACATCAGAATTATGGGGGGTCCCAGAAGATGAGAGAGAGCAAGATATCGAAAACATACTGAAAGAAATAGTGACAGAAAACTTCCCCCACCTGGTGAAAGAATTAGACTTACAAGTCCAGGAAGCGCACAGAACCCCAAACAAAAGGAATCCAAAGAGGACCACACCAAGACACATCATAATTAAAATTCCAAGAGCAAAAGACAAAGAGAGAATATTAAAAGAAGCAAGAGCAAAGAAGGTAGTTACCTATAAAGGAGCACCTATACAATTGTCAGCTGACTTCTCAACAGAAACCATGCAGGCCAGACGGGAATGGCAAGAAATATTCAAGGTGATGAATAGTAAGAACCTACAGCCAAAGATAATCTATCCAGCAAAGCTATCACTCAGAATCGAAGGTCAGATAAAGAGCTTCACTAATAAATAAAAGTTAAAGGAGTTCATCAACACCAAACCAGAATTATATGAATTGCTGAAGGGGGTTCTTTCAGAAGAGAAAGTAAATAAAGATAAAAATTATGAATAACAAATACGTAACTATCAACAAGTGAATCTAAAAACCAAGGAAATTAAAAAAAAATCTGATGAACAATAGTAACTGTTGAATATAATAGAATCAGAGGTATGGAAGGGGAGTGAACTGACGATTCTTGGGGAAAAGGGGAGAGGGGGATGTGGGAAGAGACTGAACATAAACTGTGCATCTATGGATGAGGACAATGGGGAGTGGGGAAAGGGCAGAGGGTGGGGTGGGGAACCTAGTGGAGGAGAGCAATGGTGGGGGCGGGTGGGGAGGAACATTTGTAATAATATGAACAATAAAAACTTATTTTAAAAAAAAGAATGTATAAATTCAGGTCTTTGTTCATTCATTTGTAATCTTGATGAGCTATTGATTTTGTTCTAGGCTTTTGTCAATTCAAGTTGAGGAATTGGGATTTTAGCAGATTCATAGATTAGTAGAGTTTTTACAGTACAACAAATCTATGTAAATGTCCTAAATTTTGATTTGACTACTTATCTAATAATTGTCTTTTGTGAGTAACCTAAGAAGATTACACACTGTTTCTGTAATATAGATGCTCCCATTTTTTATACTTCTCTCATATTTCTTTACTATAATAAATAAGATATAGATTGTCTGTAATATAAGTATGATGCCCATTTGCAATTGAAAATAGTGTTGAAAGCAGCCAAATGGTCATCAAATGGGAGAGTCTCCTCTCATAATGATATCATGTTATGTAGGAACACTGCCAAGTGCAAATCTTCACTATAACTGTGAAGAATATATTGAATACTTGGGGAGATAAAGTACCATCATTTAGAAATAACTTTTAAATAAATAAAATTTTGATAGTATTTCACTAATAATTTTTAAAGTAAATCTTATAAATTGCATTTTAAATTATAATATTACTGTAGGCCCAGTCCATGAATTCGTGCATGTGTAGGTGCCTTGGCCTTGCCAGTGATCGGGGCCAATTGGGGGGTGTGGAGTGACTGGAGGGAGGGGCCGCAGGAAGTTGGCCAGGGAGGGACCACTGGAGGTTGGCAGATTGCCAGGGAGAGGGACCGAAGGGGTTTGGCTGGCTGAGGGAAGGAACCACAGGAAGTTGTCAACTGAGGGGAGGGACCTCGAGAGGTTGGCTGTGGGAGCGCACTGACCTCCAGGGGACAGCTCCTACGTTGAGTGTCTGCCCCCTCGTGGTCAGTGTGTGTCATAGCAACTGGTCATTCGATCGCTTAGGCTTTTTATATATGTAGTTAGATTGTTAATCTATAAATTTAACACAATTTCAATCAACATGTTAAACTGTTTTTTGATGGTTGTTGTTGTTGTGTGTGTGAAACTTGATAAGCTGTTTATAAAATTCATATGGACGATAATTTGCAACACAAACAAGTTGGGGGAACTTGCCTTAAAATATTTGAGGCTCTTAGTTGCACAACTAATAGTGGGTTTGGAGTATTGATGTATAGAAATTCTGCCATATCCACTTTTTTTTCATATCTACTTTTAAGGAATTAAACTTGATGAATATTCTTTAAGAATAGTGGTGTTTTGTTAGGTTGATGTATTTGCTTCAGAGATTTTCAGACATTCTTGTAGTACTAGGTATAGTAAGCACAAAAACATAATGATGATCTAAAAACTTGTTTACATGTCTTATTTACTTTACTTTTCATTTTGTTTGTGATTGAACCTGGTTAAATGTGGGGGGAATGTTTTTGGAAGAGAATTATGAAGCAGTGACGAAGCAGTATTTTATAGTAGGTATAATATAGTCAGAATAAATTTATAAAAATCTTTACGCTTATGATTTTTTTATGCTCTCTTTACTAGAGAACTATTATTTTACTTTTACCTGTCACTGGTCACCTAATGAAAATCTAATTTTTTTAAATAAAATAAATATAGTTAAATAATTGATGTGTTACACTTACAAAAATCAATCATATATCAATCCTGCTTGTCCTAGTACCGTGATCGGCAAACTGGCTCATGAGCCACATGCGGCTCTTCTTGAGTGTGGCTCTTCCACAAAATACTACGGCCTGGGCGAGTCTATTTTAAAGAAGTGGCGTTAGAATAAGTTTAAAAATTTGGCTCTCAAAAGAAATTTCAGTCATTGTATTGTTGATATTTGACTCTGTTGTCTAATGAGTTTGCTGACCACTGTCCTAGTAGAATATACTAATGTATGAGAAACAGTTGGAGACAGTTTTGGCAAAGAAACTAATTATTTGTTAAGTTAAAAAATAACTTTGATAATAATAAGTATAGTCAACACTAAAATATATGTAATTAACATGGTATTTGTAAGTTTTTTGCAAAAGAACCATTTTTCTTATTATATTTTATCACATTACATTGTAAAATTTGTTTTGATCTTTATAATTACCATTTGAATTTTCAGCTGGCAAATATTTTAATGAAGAGATATTACTTGCTTTTTTTTTAAAAAGTGCTATAAGGAATTTTTTAAAATGTGTATGTCGATACTTATTATCTAATAGTAGATATATAGAATAATAGAAACAATACTTTATACAAGTGAAATATTTTTCTTAAAATACTGTGACATTAAAATTATTCTCAATAATCTTTGAAGTAGGTACATACTTTAATATATATATAATGAAATATAGTAAGACCTCAGTATAACAGACCAATTCAGGTGAGGGCTTGTACGTTATAGCCAAATGTCTGTTATATAATAAAGTAGGTTCTCAGAATGCATATGTTAAAAAATTTACAAATTAGTTTACCTATTTTTACTTGGGTAGACTTGTATGTAATTAAAATTGAGTATGTATAAAAAGCTTAATTTCACAGAAAACTTTCCTATATGTATTATAGTAATTTAAAAATTTATATGAATAGGTCTAGTAAGTATATGCATTTACCAGTCACCCAAGTATACAAATGCACAGGGTTGGGGCTAGCGCACTCAGCATGTGTTCAAACTGCTGCAGAAAGTCAGGCTAGGTGACAAAATAACCAGTTACTGAGGGTGATGCAGCAATTACTCGAACATTATTTATAAGCAGTGACTTTTGGATTTAAATATATAAGCTATAATTGTAGATATGTAATATTTATTTCAGCAAAATTGCTAAGTGTTTTGTTTGTTTTTTTCAACATATGGCCGGATCGCTAAAATGTATTAAAAAGAACTGTGAATCCTGGCTGGTTTGGTTCAGTGGATAGAGCATCAGCCTATGGACTCAAGGGTCCCAGGTTCAATTTCAGTCAAGGTCATGTACCTTGGTTGCTGGCACATACCCAGTAAGGAGTGTGCAGGAGGCAGCTGATTGATGTTCCTCTCATCGATATTTCTAACTCTATCCCTCTCCCTTCCTCTCTGTAAAAAAATCAATAAAATATATATTTTTTAAACTGTGAATTAATAATAAAATAACCTGTTAATTTAATTATAAGCAAGTCTTGGTTAAAAGAACTTTAAAATTAACGAAGTGTTAATTTTCACATGATATATAGACCACAAATTTTGTCCATTAAAATCCAAAGTTTGTTAAAATGAGGATTTACCGTATCAAAAATAGCTTCTGTGCTGTTCTTATAGTTCCAGGTTTTCCTTTACCAATTTTTCTTTTTTAGGTACCTAGTTGATAGTCGCTGGTTCAAACAGTGGAAAAAATATGTTGGCTTTGACAGTTGGGACAAGTACCAGATGGGAGATCAAAATGTATATCCTGGACCCATTGATAACTCTGGACTTCTCAAAGGTATTATTTTCTTCTTTCATTCAAATTTTAAATGTTTCTTTCAAATAGTTATAGTCAACGTATGGAACACAGAAATGTGTACATTAGTACATAAATTGATAAACTAGAAATTTTTTTGTATTATAGATTTGATATAATGAACTCAGATTATTCTGTAAATTATCTTGTGACAAGTTTTGTTTTTTATTCATGAGATATATAGGTTTAATATTATTTAAACCTTTAAATGAAGAATGTATGTTAGAAAGTGTTACCTTATTATTTTGGGGGGAATGTTGTGTTGTATATTGTTTTTCCTAATGGATACAGATATTTTTAAGTTGGGGAGCACTAATGTATGTTTACATTCTTGGATCTTTGCATTAATAAAGCCCAGTGGAAAATGTGGGCAAAGATTTGAACAGATGTTTCACCAGAGAAGTTTTCAAAAAGCACATGCAAAGATATTCAACATTATTAGTCATTAAAGAAATGAAGATTAAAACCATAATACATGTATTAAAATAATTAAAGTTTAAAAGACTGACCCCATACCAAGTGTTGACAAGGATGTGGAGCAAGTGGAACTTTAATACACTTTCTGGGAATAATATAGTCTGGCAGTTTTCTAAAACTCTAAGTATATTTACCATAGGAACCAAACATTCCATTCTTAGGCATTCACCCAAGAAAAGTGAAAGTATATATTCATATGGAAACTTGTACACAAATTTGTTTATAACAGTATTATTTGTAATAGAAAAAATTGGCAACAACCCAAAATACCCATCAACAGCTGAATGGATAAACAAATATATCTACCCTGTTTCCTCGAAAATAAGACAGTGTCTTATATTAATTTTTGTTCCCAAAGATGCGCTAGGTCTTATTTTTAGGAGATGTCTTATTTTTCCATGAAGAAGAATACAGTACACATTTATTGTTAAATGAAAATAAAGGAAATTTATTACCTGTATATGGTACGGTTGTACGGTAGTTGTCAACACAAACCAGACAAACTGTGAATCCTACAGTGTCAAGAATTTACTCATTTATTCAATGACAATCATGTCATCATCTTCTGGAACATTATCATAACAATCCAATTTCTGAATTTCCTGGTGAATTTCTTGTGACTCCATTTCTTTCAGAATCAGTGGACCAAATCTCTCATGTTTAGCCTAGGGGGGGCCTTATTTTCGGGGAGATGCCTTATATTTCACTCAGAAGGAAACCTGTAAGTAGGTCTTATTTTCGAAGGATGTCTTATTTTTGGGGAAACATGGTCTATAATGAAATTCTACTGAGTGATTAAAAGAAATGAACTATCTATATATACAAAAGCTTAAACGCAGGCATGGAAACATAGAACAGACTGATAAATCTCAGAGGGGAGGGGGAGAGGGGAGGGTAGGAAGAGATTCACCAAAGATCTTATATGCATAGTAGAGGCCCGGTACACGGGGATCAGGTGGAAACTGGCAGTCCGACATCCCCCTAGGGGTCTCAAGTTGCAAGAGGGTGCTTGCCAGGCCAAGGAACCCCACTGGTGCACAAATCTGTGCACCAGGCCTCTTGTTAATTCATAAAATCATAAATGCGTCTCAAGAAAATTCTGCAGCATAAATGAAGCTATATAAAACAGTACATTGTATTTTTAGCTGAAATTCTAGAAAATGCAGATTTACCTTGGGTAGCAGAAATCACACATAATTTTCATATACAATTCTCGTACATGCAAAATAGTCTGTAGTTGCAAAGCACAAATAAGTGGTTTTCTCACAATAGGAAAGTTGACTTGGATGGACAGAAAGGAGCGATTACAAAAGGCTACAAGGAAAACTGCAGGAGATGGATATGTGTGGGAACCCCTTTCACATCCCGCGAGGTTAAGGGTTCAGGTTCGGGTTCTGGAAGAGGCCACACACAAATGAAAGAGACCAGAAAAGTATTAATTTGGGGAACATTGGGGGCCAGGCTGGAACCCCACTCTGGCTTTGCTATCCCTTTTATTAAAGTTATGGGATACACCCACATCCTTTAGGCAGGAAATTCCAATAATAGACAATCAGCAAAAATTTACATAAGACTAACAGGAGGAGGCTGCTTCAGCTACCAATGTCTCAACTAAACAGTGAGTGATTAGCTCCAACCTTTCAGAGCAATTAAAGTTGACCAGCCTTCCAGATTCCCTGTCCACTTCTCTTTATTAGTGGGACAATGATCGGTTTCCAGCAGATATGTTCATCATTTTGGTAGTGGTATATGTCAGAACTTATCAAACTGTACATTTTAAATATGTGCAGTTTATTATATATCATTTATATACTGTAAACACAAAAGTAACAAATATCAGCTATTCTGTGTATAGGGATGTTTTCTCCCTCTAAATATAATCATTTTGACTACTAGATACAAACATGGATACAGTTTACCAGAATGTAAACTGTTTTCATTCTGGTATATAATAAAATCATTTACTCCAACTCTCGAGTTATTGTGGAAAACAACATTGAAGTCTTAACTTTAAACTTTTTTCCTAAGTTTTCTTTGAAACATTTTGTTATAGTGAAAGAAAATGGATGAGAGAGTAAAAGGATTTGAATCATATCTCACTATCCATAATTTTCTGTCTGTGTGACCTTGGGCAATTTAAAAATACCTAAATCTGTTTAATAAAAATGGAGATATTTCCTAATAGTAGAAAATTAATTGAAATAAAAGAATTTTCTATAACATTTGTTATTATACATGCAATTTTCTGGATATATGATCTTGGGCAAGTTACTCAATTTCCCTGAATATATTTTTTAATCTAAAAGGAAAATACCTATTTTATAGGATTGCTTTGAGGAGTGATTGAGATAACATAGTTATCTGCTGCATTATATATCATAGTAAATTATACATATAGTGTTGTTTTATATCTTCAGAATGTTCTGAAACAATGTTGTAAATTTCAGTTTTCATCAAGAATTAAAAATGACAAGTAAGGTTTAAAAAAATTGACTTTAAAAAGTAATACTTCATTTATATCTACTATTGAGGTCCATATTATAAAATCTAGAGATTTTCCATTTCTGCTCTATATAATACAAACTTTCTCAAATCCAGTATGATTCTGTGGTGACCTAGGTTTTTCCTAGATAGAATAAATGCTCTCTTAGAACCTTGAGCATTTTTCCTGCTTAATTTATGTTTTTATATCTAATAAGAATAGTATGTTCTTATTATTGAAATTCTACTAAGAGCAATTTAGTTTTCCATGCTTGATCATTTAAGACTGGCTCAGAGAGAATTCCCTTTATGTTGTTTATAACTTAATAAACTATTTCTGTGTCTGTACTTTGAAAATTGACCTAAAGGACCAGATAATAATAAGTGAATATCCAAGTAGGACTGTGATGTAGGTATAATTCAAGATCTCTGACCTGCCCTGTATTAAATTTTTAGTTGAAACAGAATTTTGAAAGTGGATCATAGAATTAGAATCATATCTGAAAAACTACTTCCACTTTAGCTCTAGGGAAGAGTCTAGATTATGGGCCTTCTAGAATAATGAGCTGGTTCACAGGATGCTCTCTTATGATTTCCATCGTGGTTTCCAGCCCCATGTGCTTTGGAGTCATTGTGAAAGGTTATTGATTTGTTTTTTGAGTTTCCTTCATCAGCTAATGCTAGAATGACTACTATTACCATGTGACGATCTCTGATACTGAAAATATTTGGAAAACACTATTTTTTTAGGTCCCTTGGCTAACAATTATACCTTATTATATTTTTTGAGACTAGTAAAAAAAAAAGTTATATTTTTAAACATTGTTGCTTGACTAATGTTAAACATTGAAACTTTTTAAAGTAAATTTATTTTGGAATATATAGATTTAGATGTGAGCCTTTTCAGAGCTTTCTTCAAAATTTATTTAGATATTTTAATTAATTTTCATGAATTTAAGTAATTTGTGATGTGTACAGCCCGAGTGTTTAGAGGAATGTATGGTTGTTGTTTTTTTTATGTATTGAATTTGTTTTTCCTTTTACAGATGGTGATGCCCAATCACTTAAGGAGCATCTTATTGATGAATTGGATTACATACTGTTGCCAACTGAGGGCTGGAATAAACTTGTCAGCTGGTATACTTTGATGGAAGGTCAGGAACCAATAGCACGAAAGGTACATATTAAAAATAACTGATTAGAAATGTTTTTCCTGAACAATTCACACTTTATTGTTAATTAAGTGACTTGAGAAGCCTTGTCAATTATATTTGAGATAAAGAACTATAAAGTGTTGCTGTATGTTGTGCAATAACAACTGTCATATATCGATACTACTAGAGGCCCGGTGCACGAAATTTGTGCACGGGGGGGGTGTCCCTCAGCCCAGCCTGCACCCTCTATAATCTGGGATCCTTCTCACAATCCAGGACTGCTGGCTCCCAACTGCTCACCTGCCTGCCTTCCTAATTGCTCCTAACCACTTCTGCCTGCCAGCCTGATCACCCCCTAACCACTTCCCTGCCAGCCTGATTGATGCCTAACTGCTCCCCTGCCAACCTGTTGGCCCCTAACTGCCCTCCCCTGCAGGCTTGATTGCCCCCAACTGCCCTCCCTTGCAGGCCTGGTCCCTCCCAATTTCCCTCCCCTGCTGGCCTGATTGCCCACAATGTCCTCTCTTGCAGGCTTGGTCCCTTCCAACAGCTCTTCCATGCTAGATATCTTGTGGTGGCCATCTTGTGTCCACATGGGGGCAACCATCTTGTGTGTTGGAGTGATGGTCAATTTGCATATTATTCTTTTATTAAGATAAAGGCCTGGTGCCTGGGTGGGGTCCAACCTGTTTGCCCTGAAAGGTGTCTTGGATCATGGTCGGGGTTCCCTTGGTGCATGGGCGGCCTGGGCGATGGGCCTGTGGTAGTTTTCAGGCCATCCACACCCCCTGGCAACCCAAGCGGAGGCCTTGGTATCTGGGATTTATTTATCTTCTATAATTGAAACTTTATACCCTTTAGCAGAGGCCAGGGCAGGCCAGGGCTGTGGAAGCTTGACTTCCTCCATCGCCAAAGGAAACTCAAGCTTCCTGCTCTCTCCATCTCCAGGGCCACTGCCATTTTTGTTGGGATTTATTTATCTTCTGTAATTGAAACTTTGTAGACTTGAGTGAAGTCCAGGCCAGCCAGGGTGTGTGGAAAGTTTGGCTTCCTCTGTTGCTGGGGAAACTCAAGCCTCCTGCTCACTCTGTGGCCGCACCTATCTTGGTTGAGTTAATTTGCATACTCACTCCTGATTGGCTAGTGGGTATAGCAGATGTGCAGTCAATTTGCATATTACTCTTTTATTAGATAGGATATACCAGCCACTGTTACAAGCACATAAAAGTAACCCTCTTTACTCACAATTTTGCTTTACATGGTTTCAGTTACCTGTATTTAATCATTATCCAAAAAATGTTAAATGGAAAAATTCAAGAATTAAATAATTCATAAGTTTTCAGTTGCATGCCATTCTACGTAGCATGTTGAAATCTCACATCTTTTTTTGTAATTTTATTTTTATTGATTTCAGAGAGGAAGGGAGAGATAGAAACATCAGTAATGAGAATCATCAATCATCTGCCTCCTGCATTCCCCCCCACTGGGAATCCAGTCCACAACCTGGGCATGTGCCCTTGGTTGGAATCAAACCCAAGACCCTTCAGTTTGCAGGCCAACACACTGTCTACTGAGTCAAACCAGCTAGGGCTCTTACCTTCTTTCTCCATTTTCCTGGGATATAAATCATCTCTTTGCCCAGCATATATCTTTTACCTGCAGGTTAAATCACTTAGTAGCCATCTAACCCATCAGATGGGTTAGAGAGAGAGAGAGATCATATTCATAAAACATTTATTTCATTATATTGTTATGTGTTCTATTTTATATTGGTTGTTGTGAAGCTCTTACTTTGCCTGATTTATAAATAAACTTTATTATAAGTATGTATATAAAGGAAAAAATATAGTCTACTAGTATGTAGATTCAGTACTATTTATGGTTTCAGGCATACACTGAAGGTCCTAGAACGTATCCACTATGGATAAGAGGGGTTACTATACATTATTAACTAAATTAATCCTCACAGAAACCCCTATGAGGAAAGATTGTTATCTCCATTTTATAGATGAAGAAATGAGAACAGAAGTAAGCGAGATTCAGGGCCTTTTAGAGAGATATATCAGTTTATAAACTAAAGCAGCCTGACTATTTTCTTAATCACTATGCAGCACTGCTTTTTTGGCATAACAATCCTATATAATAAAGAGGTTATATGCAAATTGATCCTCGGGCCCTCACAAGATGGCTGTTAACTAGATTTATTGTGGCATTCATTTGGCAGTAAATACAAATATCAAATCATTATGTTGTACACTTGAAACTAACAATCTTTTATGTCAATTATACTTTATTAAAAAAGAAAAGATTAGGTTATAAAAGACAACTTGGCTTACATCCTGGGTGTGCATGCCCTTATGCTCTCTCATTTCTTAGTCTGGGAAATTCAACTGTATACTCAGACAGCCTTTGGAGATCTTCACACAGTAAGGAACTGAGATCACTGGACAAGAGAGGAACAGACCCACCAACAATCACGAATAAGCTTGGAAGTGACTCCTCCAGTCTCATTTGAGCTTCCAAATAGTTGAAGCCCCGGCCCTCATAAATCTTGACAACAATCTCGTGTAAACCCCAAGCCAGAACAATCCAGCTAAGCTGCTCTAGATTCTTAACCCAAGAAACTATGTGAGATGTATGCTTTGTGAAGCTGCTGAGTTTGGAGATACTTTATTATGCAGCAGTAGATAGGTAATACTGATTTTGATATCTATATGAGTGTGCTGCCTAAAAAACTTGGAATGTGATGGTGTTTTTGGAACCGAGCAGTGGGTAAAAGCTGTGAGGACTTTTAAGTATTAATGAAAGTCTACAGAGCCTTGAATAATTTGGTAGTGGAATTTCAGAAATTGAGTAGGTTGCTAGTGAGGGCCTAAAAGAAAGTGAGGAAACCTTGAAGGAAGAAAGTGGTCTTTGGTGTAAGGTGCCAGAAGGGTTAACAATACATCAATTGCAGTAAATTGAAAGGTTAAAAAAAATGAACTGAACGATAAGCCAAAATGTTGAGAGGTCTATATAGTCAGATGTGAGAAGAGAAAGAGAAGGTAAAGAAAGGAATCCTATATAATAAAAGCCTAATATGCTAAGTGTTCAGTTGTCCAGTCAGCTGTTCAACCAATTCAAGTGTAGTATATTAATGTTATGTAAGGCTGCTCAACCACTCGCTGTGACGTGCACTGACCACCAGGGGGTAGATACTCTAACCAGTAGTTAGCTTGCTGCTGGGGTCTGGCCGACTGGGACTGAGTGAGACAGGCCCTGGAGCCCTCCTGAGGTCCCTCTCTGGCATCCCTCCACAGCCCTGATCATGTGCCCGTGAGGTCCCTTGGCCTGTCCTCTACCCTCTCAAAATCTGGAGAACCAGTTTCGGCCTGATACTGCATTTCAGGCTGAGGGACGCTACTGGTGCACAAATTAATGCACCAGGCCTCTAGTGTTACATAAAAAGGAGGCAAGACTTTCTAGTTTTAAAGATTTCTAGCCTCTCCAGATGGGAGACAGTGCTAAACCTAAGAAATGTTTGAACAAAGATTAAACTTAGAGCACTCTCGGTAAAGTATGATCTGAAGTTGAAGCCTAGGATGTGATTATAAAAGTCATTGTTAAAACCTCAGAAAAGTTAATGGTGGTACCTCAAAAAGCCTTTAAAGAATTTATGAAAAGATGATCACCTTCATTAGCTATAAAAAAAATGCAAACCAAAACCACAGTGTGATACCACCTCACAGCTGTTAGAATCGCTATTATCAATAAGACAAGAAATAACAAGAGGTGGAGATAATGTGTGGAGAAAAAGTAGCCCTCAAGACACTGCTGGTGAGAATGTAGACTGATACAGCCACTATGGAAAATTTCTCTTTAGGGTATCTGAAATGTTTTAAAAACATATACTGTAAAAATATGTTATTCATAGCAGCTAAGACATGGAAACAACCTAAATCCTTTTATAGATGATTGGATAAAGAAGTCATGGTAATTATAATTGGAATTACTCCTTAGCCATAAGAAAGGATGGCATATTGCCATTTGTGACAGTATGGATGAATCTTGAGAATATCATGCTAAATAAAATAAGTCAAATGGAAAAAGATAAGAGCCATATGATTTCATGTGGGATATAAAATGGAAAGCAACAGCCAAAACCGGTTTGGCTCAGTGGATAGAGCGTCGGTCTGCGGACTGAAAAGTCCCAGGTTCGATTCCAGTCAAGGGCGTGTACATTGGTTGCGGGCACATCCCCAGTAGGGGGTGTGCAAGAGGCAGCCGGTCGATGTTTCTTTCTCATCGATGTTTCTAGCTCTCTATCTCTCTCCCTTCCTCTCTGTAAAAAATAAATAATATATATATATATATATATATATATATATATATATATATTTTTTTTTTTTTTTTTTTTTTTTAATGGAAAACAACAGAGATAACAACTCATCTGAATTCTCCAAGTTAAGGCCTTGTCTGTTCACCAGTGAGCATGTCATTGAATGAGAAGACTGAGGCTCATGAAGGTTGAGTGATTTGTCCCAGCCTACATATAGTACATCTGCATGCATCAAATAACCCTCTGATTACCTGTGAAGGACTCAGTTATCTAGGCCATCTGACACCATCTGACATTGTTATCTAGTCCATTGGACATAGCCAGACCTCCTGACATCAATCATTTACCAGCGTTCACCAACCTTTTGGACCTCACAGACCACCAGTGATCTGCACTGAAATGACCTGTTATCTGACTGATAACTAGCTTAGACCAATCTTAGGGCTAAGACTGCAAGTCTAATATTTCTTTAGAATGTACTTTTTTTACTATAAGAACTCAACTTTTTTTTTTTCTTTAGAATACTTCTGGGTTTTTGCCTAGCTGTTTTCCCAGTTTGTAAACTCTTAAGACCCTTGAACAAATATTTATTACTTGTTTTAAAAAAAAGAAAGCAACAAATGAACAAAAACTTATAGACACATAAAACAATTTGAGGATACCAAAGAGGAAGGATGAAGGGGGTAAAGGCAGTAAAATATATAA